AACATTGTGTCTGCAGTTTTTCATCTTACTCGGAATCATTCTGCAAATCAAAGAATTCATCTTGTAATTCATCGTGAATGCTGGCAACATCAAGGGAAGAAGAGAATGGGTTATGCGTAAATGCAGATTCTTCTTTTTTCAGCTCAGAGAAATAGCGATGCAGTTCGTTTTCAAGAGATTCATGATGCCCAGAAATCGCTTCTTTCAAAAATTGTATTATCTCACAATCAGATTCATCTACCACACCGCAGAGTTTCTCAAATTTACAATATTTCCAAGATTTGTTTTCTTTACCGATTTTGCAGCTTTGATAAAAATGCCCCGAGATTATCATGGAAAGTTATAATATTCGTTCATTTTCCCTGAAGCTTCAGGTTAAGCTTATCTTGATGTTCGAACACATCTGCTAGGTATGATATTCTCTCCAACCACTCTATGTCGTTTTAAGTATACCAAAAAGTCTTGTTTCTTTTGCACTCCCAAGAACAATTTGATTTCAGATTTCAATTCAAAAACACAATTTACAACATTTCGTTTGACAGCCAGCGTACTGTAGTGTAGAAGAGCAGAACCTCGTGATCTATATTAATGTTTTTGCTCAGTTCTTTGAAGCTCCAGATTTTATATAATTTACGACTTATACTAGCAATGGACTCTTGATGTCGATTGGCTTGGGCAGTGGTTAGGAAGCTAAATATTTTCTGTTTTCTGAAAGCCCGATTTTGAGCTAAACATAGATGGCGCACCATCCGTACAAACCCCCCACAGCCGTTTTAACCCATTTTAATCATCCAGTTACAAAAAAAGGTATTTATTTTCTCCCTGCTATCTTCACAAAACAACAACTCTTCTTTGCTATCATCCGCATGAATATAAACACAGACCAGCAACTGCGAGCACGAATTCACGTCTGTTGATTTATCAACTTGAAAAGCAAAGAATGGTGAAAGCTTAATTTTGATAAAAATGTGTTATTTAACATTTACGTACATGCAGCGTTTGATGAGATTTTCTCCTATTGTTTTTTTTTTCTTGACATTTTCTATCGCGACATCATTTAATGCTTGCACTAATTCTGGTGAAAACTTCCTGTTCGATCAAGTCTCTGGCGTTTGCAACTAGCTTCTTACCGACGAAAGAACTCCATATATTTTTGGTGTGTTCCGAATGACTCGTCTCAAATGGCGTTTTAGTTTTGAAGATTTCGTAGATTCGTGACTGAGAACAACTTTGTACAGTGCGCTTTGTTTCTTCTCTATTACATCTCCAGTGATGTTAATGAAGCCGAATTAAAAAAAATTCTTCTAAATATTTATGTTTTGTTTCAAATTACTAAGGTTTAGTATACCAGTTGGCGACCCCCCAGAAAGACCTTCGCGACCCCCAGGGGGGTCGCGACCCCCAGGTTGGGAACCCGTGGTATAGTATATAAACCTTGTTAATTATCATGAAACCGATGAATAGTGTAAGGTGTGATTAGGAAGTCGAGCGATAGATTTCTGACAACCAATGCTCCAAATGCGTATCCTCCCCCCTCCGCGCCCCTCCCCAGCTGCGGATGAGACCCCGGAGCTGGTTGCAATATATCGCATTACAAATTGATATGGGATGCAATATTGTGTTGGAATAAATACCGTCCATTATTAAAAAATACAAATAAAGAAGACTAAGATCAATGAATGTAATGTTGACAAGGATTTGATAAAATTTTGAAAATCTATTTAAATAAAACTTTAAAAAATAAGCTTAAAGGGAAATAACTTTATTAATGTTTTAGGAAAATTCAACATAGCTTTAGTTAGTTCCCTTGTCAAGGAAAATCCTCCGATGGAAGGGAAACAAACAAATCGGGTTGGGGCGAAGGTGTTAAATAAAATATACTCATTTATGAGCTACCCCCCATATATTTTTTTTTCCTTTTCTTTATACACGATTTTTAAAAAATATATAACCTGCATTTCAAATATTCTGGACACTATTCTCGGTTGGGCCCATTTGAGCTAGTGTTTCTTCCAGACTTTTTTCTCCGCGGGGGGGGGGGGGGGGGGGGGGGGCACTTGACATTGTCGGGGGGAGGACACTGGTAAAAGCATATGTTTTCTATATAAATTCCATGTCCATGTGTCGTCGTCCTCCCCCCCCCCCCCCCCCCCACCGAAGAGATACCTGGAAGAAACTCTGATTTGAGCGTGTGCACTAAAATCACGCAAAGTTTTCCTGCCGTGAAACAGACGGTTCAGGAGAAATAAACAGATGATTTTCCATGAATGTTCAATGTCAAGCGATGAGCGTCTAGCTGAGTCTCCCCTCGCCAATGACCAGGTAAGCTTGATGAAATTTGTTTCAATTATTTATGTTGAAATATTAATATACATTGAGATCGAACAATACGTAAACATAAAACTGTGCTCTGTTCTAGTCAAACACTTTTGTAACACGTTTTCATTAGTTGTTGAGAATTTAACAATATGTGAGGGCATTTTTTATAACTACAGAGGCTAAAACGTGAATTGGGCGTTGTGAAATTAGCGGGTTTTTTTTTTTTTAAAATCAGTGTAACACCGAGTTTTGGTAGTGGATGTTGTATAAATGCTTTCCTTTAACTTACTTTAGCATTGTTGCGTTCCAGTAGTTTAATGAGGTATGGGTGTGGTTTAGTTATTTAATAAAACGGGAGTGAGCTACCCTAAATATATATTTCGAGGTGACGAAAAGAGATGTTTCGGCAGAAAATACGAAACTCAATAGTTCTGCACATGCGCATTATATATTGTAAATAAACGAAAGGGTTGGCTGGCGCTTTCAGTGAAATCTGGCTATAAAAGAAGTAGGTAAACTTTCAGATGGTCTGTATTAAATTTCGATGGGGCGGCGGTAGCGAAAAATCGCTGAAGTGTTTATTTTCTATATAAATGCTATTTGTTTAGTGGGTGGTAAACGATTACCGGGGAGGAGAGATGAAGCGCCCACCCCCCCCCCTAGAACGTCTACCGCCCCCTCGAACGTAATAGAAAATTTTGTCAACCCCTCCCCCCCCCCCCCCCAAAAAAAAAATATTTTTCACTGCCTCCCCCCCCCCCCCTCCCCTGGGAGAAAAAAAAATTGATAGAAACACCGATCGCACATACTAAAGGTAGACAGGATATTTATAATCTAGACCCGTTTCCTATTTTTGGCAACTAAACATCTATCATGCAGATAGTGGGTTTTTTTCCAGACTATTTTTCGCCGTGGGGAGGGGGGGGGGTGGGGGTGGGGGATGGCACTTGAAATACTTCTTTTAGGGGGGGGGGACGACTAAATTCTCTAGGGAAGGTATGGAGCACTGACACTGTTAAAAGTATATATTTTATATTTTAATTGTATTTCGTTGGGGGGGGGGGGGCTGTAGACATACCCAAAGCGATGCTGGAAAGAAACTATATATACTAGCGTGCGATATATTCTAGGTGCGATTTGGTGCCCTAGGTTTTCCCGTGAGCGATATGGCATCTACGTTAGTTTTAAAGAAGGCGATAGGCTATGCATACAATGTGTGTTCTACCTCACTATTACGGAGAATGATTAAAGTCCACTGGTGCGTGCTGGGCGGTAGTGTGGGCAAACCCGCACTCCGAAAAATATGATCCAAAAAATATAGCGCAGGCAGTGTTTATTTTTTAATAACTCAATGTTAGAAAACAAGGTGACACGGCTGAGAATTATAGGATTGGTAACGCAATGATGAAATGATGAAACCCTCTTAACTCATTTCGTCAGACTTTCTTCTAAGACCGCGGCAACGCCTGGGGACTGTCACGCTTGTATTAACTATATATATATATATATATATATATATATATATATATATATATATATATATATATATATATATATATATATATATATATATATATATATATATATATATATATATATATATATATATATATATATATATATTTATATAATAGTTTTATATACATATATATATATATATATATATATATATATATATATATATATATATATATATATATATATATATATATTTATATAATAGTTTTATATACATATATATATATATATATATATATATATATATATATATATATATATATATATATATATATATATATATATATATATATATATACAACTAGTGTAAAGTAGAAAACTGGGGACGTGACGAGTGGGCTATAAAATCAGCAAAGAGTGGACAAGATCGATTACTAATTTTGATTTGACCCTCTCAGTCCTGGTTCCAACCCAGGTTTTGATGTTGAACGTTTCTAAAATGTTGACAGCAGCCGTCAATCAAGGCTGGGCTAGCCATGGAGTGAGTAACACGGGCGCAAGGATACACGATGTAGTTTATGTCAGGTATACATGCGCCAAGTCCGCGGGATAATTCCTTTCTAATTCTATCGTCATACGTGCAACCTACATTAGGCTATGCATGCGCTTTTACTTGAAAAGTTAAAATAGTAATATCTTTTCGGACTCTGTTTGTTAGGCTATATCATTTTAATTAATTTATTAGCTGCAGGGTAATTGATTATTAGTACGATATTGGTGAGAATTTTCAGGTGTTTGTAGGGAAATATTTTCTTTTGTTCATACAACTTGGAGCTGTTTTTACCTCTTTGGTCAACTAAAATTATGCAGATTTATTGATAAAATAATAATTGGGAATTAGAAGTTTTCGTGATGTTTTGCGATCACTGGATACACCACTGACGTAGTAAACACAGGTAGACGTACATTGCTTTATACCTGTACTGTAAATAAATAAACCATTTCATAAACAAATGCATAGTATAAAAATATAAAAGTTAATTGTACTGATATTTATATTTTTTTTTTCTGATACAGTTAGAAAAAAGTGTTATAATTTTACCGAAGTACTGAAAATATTCATCCAACGCAAAGATAATTACATTCTTTTTCAAACATTCGTTGAGGTGATTATTTAAAAACGTTTTTCCCCCAAGGTGTTCATAATCCTAGACTCTAAGATGGAACTTAGAGAGGTCAAAATGGGCGTGTCGTGTTCTCGCTGGACTCTGGTCATTATCAACAGTGTATTTGCTGTAAGTACTTTTATATATATATATATATATATATATATATATATATATATATATATATATATATATATATATATATATATATATATATATATAAGCCCTATGTAGTGAAGATTAACTAAATTCAGTCTGATTATAAGTAAAGATTCGTGTTGTTTAACATCTGAGTTAAAAGCACGGGCTTTTTGTTCTATTACAGAGAGGTGGGCGCATTCTTGCAGCGTAATGTAGGCACTGCCCCCCCCCCACGTGTACCGCCCCCCCCCTCCCCAACTAAATACAAAATTGTATACAAAATAACCTTAATTTTTAAGCCACCCCCCCCCCACCCACACCCGTTTCCTGAGAAAAAAGTCTGAAAGAAACGTAAAGGGTGGGGGGATCGTTTTATACAGCGTCGTCGTTTATGTAGTGTTTCTTCCAGGCGGGGGGGGGGGGATATGCAAGTCCGGGGCCGGCGCCCCACTCCCACTCCCCCCACCTTTTTCCCCGGACGAAATTAAAAAAAAATATGCATACGCTATATAATTAGTATAGACAAATATATTTTGACAAATTAGTATCGCTCCTGATGTTTCAAGTGCCTTCCCAGATACCCTGCGTTTATGGATGACCCCTAATTTGGATTGGTAATCAGTCCCCCTGTGATTAGGGAGTAACACGACAACGGTATTAAAACCTGTGTTTACTTTCTATTTATAGCTGCTAGGCCTGTGTTTAATCATCCTCGCCTGTCTCCTCAAATTTGGATCCAACATGGTGGAAAACTACTTCAAGGATAAACTGACCGGCACGCTCAATTTCATAAACTCTTCCGGGTCACGAGGCGATATGGCGACCTTTGACCTCGGTGAATACCTCGGAATTGTGGTTTACGTCATGATCGCTATAGGCGTGCTGATCCTCGTCATCAGTTTATGTGGTTGTTGTGGGAGTATCGGGAAAATCCGATATGTGTTGATTGGCGTAAGTTTTGTTTTAAATTATACTAATTATGGTAACGCAATGCCATTAATTAGTTTTTTTTTAAGTCCAGAAAAATCTAGAAGTTTATAGTATTTGTTATTGTTTAAACTACTTTAGTGCTTATTTCGTCTACCGGTAGAGTAAATATAACAATCACTTATTTCTACTTCCTATTTTTTAAAATATCACAAATGCGTATTTCCTCTCCGTTTGACGAAATAAGAACTAACCAGAAATTTGGTAAACTGCTCCTATTTTAAGAAATGGCCGTCCATGAAACAAAACACGTCTCGCGTTTTACTTTCAGACGATTTTTTTTCACACCTTACTCCTTTCCACCGTCACCAAAAGTCATCCCCCTCTGCCCAGTGCCGGCGCCAGGTTATTTAGCGCCCTAGGAAACTTATCAAAAAAGCCCCCCTCCTCCCGCAAGATATATGTATATATATATATATATATATATATATATATATATATATATATATATATATATATATATATATATATATATATATATATATATATATATATATATATGTTATTTGTTTGTTTTCTATATCAATTGTGAGACACCAAAATAAAAAAGGCAAAATGGGGGGCGCATTTTCATCAACACGAATAACTATTTATAGGCCTAATTGGAAGAGGGGGTGCCAAATTGATAGTTCGTCCTGGGCACCAAAATAGATCGCTACGCAAAGTTATTAATTATTAGGTACTATTTAATAATGGCGATCACACATTTTTGCGCCCTTCTGTGGATAGCGCCCTAATCGGCCGCCTAGTTCGCCTTATAGTAAGTTATAGGTAGCGCCGGCCATGCCTCTGCCTCCCAAACCCCCGTAATATAATGTCACGATAAGGACTTGTTTCACGACGGTTTCTGGCTAAAGAGTCTGTAACTCAGAGGGCAGTGGCCCGGGCAGACAAAGCTCGTTAGCTGGGGACAGTCACTCTTCTAGGAGAGACAACTCCAAAATCAAATAACTACTGCCTTTTAGTTTGTTCTTGATTGGACGAAGGCTATGGAAGCAAGTCAAAATGGAAAGCAGATTGAAATCGGAGTCAACGGCCTATATGGCGATTTAAGTGGACACGCAATACTTCAGTTTGTTGGAGGGGATCCCTTCCATCGCTAAAATTAAGAACGATGGAGGAAGAAGAAGAGCTGTCATTAACTAGTCACAAATTTACAGGAGATATACAACCAATTTTTTTTTTAACTCTGATTCATGGCCCGATTTTGTGTGTTATATATTGTGAACTCATTATATTCCAGTACGCGTGTGCTTTGGTGTCGCTGGTGATTCTACACGTTGCTATGGTGACCGTTATTTTGGCATTTCCCAACACGGTAGGTAAATAAAGTATAAGTCATTCTGGTCGGCTATATAATCTAAATAACCCCAGGCAAAGAGCACAGCATTAAACTGTAACTCTTGAAAATAGTTTCTTTCATGCATCTCTTCAGAGAACAAGAACTAAAATAGAGAAAAAAATACATTTTTATAAAGAAAATATAAAATTTTAACATAAAATGTAGACCTTGAGTCTAGCCTAAATGTGATTCTGAAAATAATCAATTTATAGATTCAATCTAAGTGATCCAACTAATATTTATTTATTTTGCGTTTGAGATTTTGATGGAGTGGTCACATGAATGGTCACATGATAAGGGTTGTTCCTACTCGATGTAATAATACTCAATTTTTGAAAATATCTTTTAAAACATATGGCAAGAGATAAAATTATAATTACATTACTAAAAACTAAAGCTGTTAGGGAACCATCTATTACACTCATTTTTTTTATATCTTTAACTATTTCTAGCCTTAATGAAACCTGAAGTAATTTCGTACTGATTACACAAATGTTATAAAATATTCAATTTTGTTTGAAAAATATGCTTTCTGGAAACAAACATTAGGAACCATTTGGAACCAGCTTATTGAGTCTATTTTTATAGATTTAGCCATTGTCGTCGTTGACTATTAATGAACTTCTTCATTAATACGCATGTATATCAATAAATCGTTAATGAGTGTAAACAAATTAATTTATTATATTCTTTTAGGTGAGAGACGTGATTCGAGAACCACTTTTAAAATCTTTACGTGAGGAATATAGAGGAATTAACGGAACTGACGTCATAACGACCGGATGGAACTTCTTTATGATTGTTGTGAGAAGATTTCCTACTTTTCTTTTGATTTTTTTTCTTTAAAAAAAAAATAAAAACCTCTAACATCTTATGCTTACTTTTCTGTTGATCAAGAGACAGACATCTAGTAACAAGTTAGAAAAAAAAAAAGATTTTCAAACTTAAACGTAAACTATAAGTGGACTTTGTCCTAAGATCAACAAATTTCCGTGAGGTATTTTGTCTGAGATATTTTGTCTGAGATCATTCGTCCTGAGATCATTTGTCCTATCACCATAATAACCTAATGTAAAAATTTTAAAAATAAAATGTAATTAAATGCCACCTTCCCACCCATCTCTCCCCCCCCCCCCTCCCGGGGCTTAATCTCACCACGTCCAGTTCAAGTGTTGTGGCGTCGACGACTACCAAGACTTCCAATCGGCGTCGAAATGGCAGCGGAGTTTAGCTCCACACATCGCGTCAGCAGAGGGCAACAACCAGGGGACACAACCCCTGACAACACAACTGCTGACCTCCCCTGTGGCTTGCTGCAAATGGATGGGCGTGTTTCCGGATGTCTCGTTGCCGATGAAGAATGAGCTGACATGCGCACTCGAGCCGAATATTGACAATTCGAATATGTATAAGGTATCTTTCTATATATAGGCCTACAATTATCTTCATGGAGACCATAGAAAACACCAAGCTGTAAGCGCGCCTAGCAGCCCCCTCTCTTCCTCTCTAGGCATATCCCTACCACCCCCGCCCTCACATGGTCCGGTGAGCTGTGGTTCACTCTAAATGTTTACAGGCTTAGAGCCGGCAGATAATTTAGTTTGAAACGATTTTAAACTTAGGGGAGGTAACTAAGAGGAGGCTGCTTTCACGTGGGGGGTGTAGGGTTGGCGTTGGGGGAAAGGAGGGTGGGGGAGGGGGTTATCGTCCTTAACGACCTACTGATAGTGTTTTAAAGCAAATATTTTCAGTGGCAGCATTGGAACTGTCGAATTAACAAATTATGAATTACTGAAAAGTAGAAAATAAAACAACTAATTAGCGGCATATGATACGCCGCGGGTCGGCTCGTTCTCTTTATTTTTCAAGCTTTATCGTAGGTAAAGATACTTGGAAGTCTGTCTGTCTGTCTGTCTGTCTGTCTGTCTGTCTGTCTGTCTGTCTGTCTGTCTGTCTGTCTGTCTGTCTGTCTGTCTGTCTGTCTGTCTGTCTGTCTGTCTGTCTGTCTGTCTGTCTGTCTGTCTGTCTGTCTGTCTGTCTGTCTGTCTGTCTGTCTGTCTGTCTGTCTGTCTGTCTGTCTGTCTGTCTGTCTGTCTGTCTGTCTGTCTGTCTGTCTGTCTGTCTGTCTGTCTGTCTGTCTGTCTGTCTGTCTGTCTGTCTGTCTGTCTGTCTGTCTGTCTGTCTGTCTGTCTGTCTGTCTGTCTGTCTGTCTGTCTGTCTGTCTGTCTGTCTGTCTGTCTGTCTGTCTGTCTGTCTGTCTGTCTGTCTGTCTGTCTGTCTGTCTGTCTGTCTGTCTGTCTGTCTGTCTGTCTGTCTGTCTGTCTGTCTGTCTGTCTGTCTGTCTGTCTGTCTGTCTGTCTGTCTGTCTGTCTGTCTGTCTGTCTGTCTGTCTGTCTGTCTGTCTGTCTGTCTGTCTGTCTGTCTGTCTGTCTGTCTGTCTGTCTGTCTGTCTGTCTGTCTGTCTGTCTGTCGTATGTCTGTCTGTCTGTCTGTCTGTCTGCCGATGGGTGGGAAGGGTTGTTTTAGAAAAGATGTTCCGGGGAATTAGGGGAGGTCGTTTTTAAACTAGTGGAAAGGGGAGGGATTTACGAGTGGTGAAAGTATATACATAATATAGTGTATATACATAGTGTATATATATAGGCCTAGTGTGTATAATATATATATATATATATATATATATATATATATATATATATATATATATATATATATATATATATATATATATTACATGTGTGTATATAAAAAAAACTCTACTTCATCTTACCCAAGTACGTCTGGTTCTGTATTTATTTTTTTCTACACACAGGGATGTTTAAACGCCATACTTGACTACGTGAAAGAAAATGACCTGTATATAAGTATAGGTGCAGCAGTTCTACTTGTTACTGAGGTAATGAAGTAGGTTTTTTATAAATTGTTTACGTAAAAGGGTGCTATATTTTGTTCGTAAGTTGAAGCAATCGTATTAAAGTTAACTACACGTGCGCAAGTTGAATCCTATGAACGGAAGTTGAATAACGTATACGAAACTAAATATATGAATAAGGAGATTTTATTTAACTTGTATCAGTTTTATTTGTTTGTTTTTTTTAATGAGGGGTTGGAAACTAAGTAGAATCTAGTATTACAACTGGCCTTCTAGAAATTTTGTTTTACATTTAATTTACTTGCATTAGTTTACTAACACAGCCCCCCCCCCCCCACCCCCCCCCCCCCCCTCCCTCGCCGCGTATTTCTGCGCTATGATCGCCAACAATTTGTCAATATCGATTTTTTGTCTTGGTAGGTCACTTGACACCACTGTATGTCTACTGTATGTCTACTATTGCTATACTGTAAGGGATCGGCATGGTCGACTCGGTAAAGCTCATGGTTGCTAAACCGAATAGTCTCTAGTTCTAACACTAGGGCAGATGAGGGGACAGCCACTCTTCTAGGAGAGATAACTCCAAAATTAAAAAAAACTGCTGCCTTGTAGTTTGTTCTTGGTTGGACAAAGGCTATGGAAGCAAAACCAAAAAGAAAAGCAGGCTGAAATCGAAGTCAATGGCCTCAATGGCGCATAACCAGTTGACACGTATACTTAATTGTGTTGGAGGGGGATCCCTTCCAACACTAAAATTAAGAACGAAGTATATCTTCTACCTATACTGTATGCCTACTATTGCTATATTGTATGTCTACTATTGCTATACTGTATGTCTACTATTGCTATACTGTATGCCTACTATTGCTATAATGTATGTCTACTTGTTGCTATACTGTATATCTACTATTGCTGTACTGTATATCTACTATTGCTATACTGTATGTCTACTATTGCTATACTGTATGTCTACTATTGCTATACTGTATGTCTACTATTGCTCTATTGATTTCCACAGTTACTTATGCTTATTGTGGACATAAGGCTACTAAGGGCACTACGAGATCGCAAAAGTTCCGTTACTGAGATCAGCCGAATGTTCATAGAAGAGTGACCTTATAAATAGCCTAATGTTTACAGAAGAGTGACCACTACATAGCCGAATGTTTTCAGAAGATCGATCCCTGCATAGGCGAATGCTTATAGAAGAGAGACGATTACATGAGTGAATATTTATAAAGAGTGCCCATTACATAGGCGAATGTTTATAGAAGAGAGACGATTACATGAGTGAATATTTATAAAGAGTGCCCATTACATAGGCGAATGTTTATAGAAGAGTGAGCATTACACAGCAACATATATATAACAAGTTACCACTAAATAAGTGAATGTATATTGAAGAGTAACCACTACTTAGGCTTATGTTTTTATCTATATAGGGCTGCTAAGTAGGTCGCCAACCAGTTATATGGCTCGTGCAGGTTTTATTGAGCCTTAGAACTGGTTGGTGACCTACTTACCAGCCATATTGAGATGTTGTCAACATTCGGGATTCACTGCTAATTTAATGACAACAGTAGTGCAACTGTTAATTCATGCAATAAATATTTTATACATAAAGTTTTCAGTTCAGAAACTAAAGCATTTCGACTAATACAAACCAGATCTTCGAAAATGTGTTACATTGTCTTGGTGTTATATATGGCTAATCAATAATGGCCAAATACTTTACTAAACACGTTCCTATTATTTTACTCTTATTTTGTAGTGTGTTTTTCTCGAGACAAGGAATTTATCAATCGAGTAATAAAGGAGAAAAAAATGGAAAAAATAAAATAAAAAACAAGAATGGCAAAAGCAAACGTAATTTTATTAAATTAACAAAACAATGCCCCAGCAATGTTATATGTCGTATCTGTTGGTTTTATTTAAACACTAAAACAAAGCCGAACATATCCCCATCGTGAGTTGACTTCTGTGATACTAAAAGATAGGTTTTACATTAAAAAATTACAAAAGTATACTTATATGTTTATTGTTTCACTTTATCAAATCCAACCAAACCGGAACTCAATGCGCTAACGAAAAGCAACCAATGCATAAAAAACTGCATATGTAATAATAAGTTGAAAATTAACACAGCTGTCAATTTACTAAGCAAGAATACAATAATTCAAATCATACTTTACTTAAAAGGGTCTAATTTTTGTTTGGTATTGAATAATGTATCACACATAAAGTTCTTTCATACACCTCTTGAGTTAAGGTTTGGGTTAAAGTTTTATTCAGCAGCAATTTAATTTCTTGGAAAATCTGATGAAAAGCAACACATTTACTATTTACATCCTAAGGATTTTTTATTCAGAAATATAATTACATAATAAATAACATTTTATTTTTTACATCCTAAGGATTTTTCATTCAGAAATATAATTACATACCAAATAACATAAATTTTAAAAGAAGAAAAGAAAACCACTCTTATTTTCAAATGTGCAGTGGAAGATGCACGATATGTCTACCCGATGTGCACATGAAAAACGTACGTGGTTGTAACGACAATACCTTACTCTTTCGGTATGTCACAGGAAAGTGAGGTCGGGTGTCAACCGGTGCGGCACTTAATGGTGTCACCCCCCAGAGGCGTAGCGACCCTTCCCGGCGCCCGGAAACAAACTTTCAATTTTCGATTTGCACCCCCCCCGCTCAAACTTTCGATTTGCCCCTCCCCCCCCCCTCAAAATTTCGATTTGCACCCCCCCCCCCCCCTCCACCCTTGTCGGGATTTGTCAAAATTGCTCTTAAAAGACTTTTTAACACTCGAATTAATAACTTAATTAAGTGGAATTATCATTTTTCTCTATATATTTTGCTATTTTCTGCCTTGGTGTCACCCCCCTAAATGGTGTCACCCGGTGCGGTCCGCACCCCCGCCCCTTCCCCTCGCAACGCCACTGGTCACAGGTAATATACACAGAGCATACTTGAAAAAAAAATGTAACAAAAAATTATCGTCCATCATATATCTGTTGGGACGTTGCAAGCCCCGTTTTGCATCCATCGATTCATATCATGGACTTTGTTCAGAGTTTGAGTAGTTACTTTCTTACACACTTCACACCCTACCGATTCAATGCCTGCCGGGATAGAAGTCACGTGCCTGTATTTGTCCTTCTCTGCCAGGTAACCGGCGTACGTGTTTAAGTCACTGGCCAGATTTTTCAAAAACAAAGCCAAATCTTTCGGCGTTTTGAAATCAGCCGCGTTGATCATGGTGTTGTTGGGGAGATACTGGCCGTACGGCGCCCCTCCACGGGCTACGGGGATGATGTGGGTGTCGGTATTGTAGGCTTTGAATAGTTTTTCTGTGATGTAATCTTTACAGTGGGAGTTTTCGAAAGACAGGTAAAATTTGTAGTGATGTCGGAGTAGGTCATCGAGGACTTCCGGATTGCTTGGCTGACCACAGCCTCCGTAAATATCAACCTCAATGTATTTCTGAAACAAAGTAGGCATATACAGTTAAGTCAACTTTTTGAAATAGACACAATCAAATATCAATGTAGGAGCCTACGACTGTGCAAATAAGAAGGAGGGAGTGGCGCTGGGTGGGACACACGCTGCGAAAGGCTCACCCAGAAGTGACACGTCAAGCATTTGAGTGGAACCCCCAGGGAAAGCGGAAAAGAGGGCGCACAAGACAGACCTGGAGGCGGAGTCTTCTTGAAGAACTGAAGCCAACAGGGATGACTTGGGAGACGGCAAAATTAATAGCCGGGGATTGGATGAAATGGGAAGAAATCGTTGAGGCCCTATATTCCATAATTGTACAAAAATTGTTAATATAATAATTTTACAGTATATTTCACTAACAGGATCTTGGGAGTCAGAGCACTAACTTATATATCTTTCTAGACCATTAAAACTAGGGTGCCTGATCCGCTTACGATTAATATTAACATTTTCCCAAACGCAAATTTCTATTCACTGATTCTGTATTGTAACAACAATGTGCTAAAAATAATTCCCTAGTCCAACCAAATAAGATGAGACTGGGTAGCTGTAGACGGAAAAAAGACTTGCTACTTGAAGACAGTAGCCCATCTTGGAGTGAATACTCCAAAATCAAACAACAGCTAGAGCTTGTAATTTGTTCTTCCATGGACAAAAGTCTAGAAAGATAAGCAGGTGAAAATCGAAGTCAACTGGCCATATTACGCAAAACATGTTGACACGTAATACTCAGTTATAGTGGAGGAGATATCTTCCAAAATTACAATTAAAAAAAAATTTCATAAAAAACGTTTTAATAACAAGCTTTTATGTAATTGGATACCTTTACTAATATTTGAGAAGAGACCACGCTTTTCTTTATAGTAATTTAAATAGTAGTGTATAATTTATTTTCTACTTTTTAGTGCATCATTACATAAAAGCTTGTTATTAAAACGTTTTTTATGGAAAAAAATTTCAGTACTTTACATGTTTTATTTACAATAGTGTTACATGACTAAAAACCATTGCGCGTCTATTGAACGTGATGGCGCAGCTATTAAACCTTATGGCGCAGCTATTGAAAGTGATGACGCGTGTGGTGTGGTTGGATTGACATACCTACTAATTCGGTCCAAATTTTAATTAATTCATAAAAAATTAATTAGGCATCCAAATAAGTCAAATTTAGTTTCAGATTGCATTGTCTTCATGTCTTGACCCACGTGCCAACTGTGAATCGTATCGGTCAAGTAGAACTGTCCGAATTTTCACTCCTACGTTTCGATCTAGACTGACGACAGACTGTCGACTGACGACAGACAGAGGAAGTGAGTTAAATAAAAGCTTGTAAAAATGATGAAGAAGGAGATGAGTCCCTAGCAGCAGGTACTTACCTTCATCTCCTGTACGTACTGGTTGCGTTTCGACATTGTATAGCAGTTTGAGACAACCCACATGGCCATTTTACTTTTGTTCTGGGCTATATCATCTGTGCAATGATACAGGAAAAAACTTTATCAACATTATCATAGAGTTTTTTTGCTTTAAGGTAGGCCTACTTTGACTGAGATAGTTTGTCCATGATATCTTGTAAAAGTTTCCCTTTCAAACCTGACGGTCTATGGGGCAAGTGAATTAGAGTTCACTTGTTTCTGTAACCTCGGCATATGAAGAGATAGTGTGGTCAGCACTATGCCCCGCCGCTTTTACTTTCCCTAACTTGAGTTAGGTACCCATCAGAGTTGGGTGGACTCGGGGACGGTCTATTGACTTGAACCCGATTCGAACTCGAGACTTACGAGTTAGCAGTCCAGCTCTCTACCGCTAGACCACTCCGTCGCTATGATATATTGTGTCCGTGTCGTATTTTGTCTCTGATATATATATATATATATATATATATATGTATATATATATATATATATATATATATATATAATACACAAAACAACGCCCAAACCCACAAACCACACCATCTGTGCAATGATTCAAGGAAAATATAATAGTTAGCATGTTTACATTTTGATCATAACAAGATAACACAAGCATTTGTAAACAAATAAACACGTATATATCATTATGTATTTGGTGATTTTTTTACTGAGCATATCCCGTTAAGAAAAAGGAAGATGATGTGTACATAAACAATGTAAATTTTCTTACAGTAGTTGGGCAGCTCTTGCTGTGGTCTAGGCGAGTACACGAGACGGCCATAAGGGACGAACACGTCAGAGTCGGTCCTGTAGTGGATGGTCATGTTGAATGCTTTGTTCCAGACTGAATCGGCATCTGCGAGATCAGAATAGGCTTGAAAACTCTATGTTATCATACTAAATGTAAAAACAATATGGCAAGCGATAAAACTATAGTTACATTTGTAAAAAATTAAAGCTGTTTAGGAACTATCGATTACACATGTTCATATTTTTGTATTGAATATAAGCCGCTGGAAAGCCTTTTAGAATTTTTTTATAAGTTCAAATATTTTTTTTAAAAACCCGCCCTCAATCTCTCCTTGAAGACAACCGGAGTGGCCAGGGAAAGTAAAACAGTGAAAGTCACAACAATTGTATTCCATGATAAAATACACAATAGTGGTCAATGAGGTACAGCTAAGTGGTTTATTTATATTTAATAGTATAGGATCACCTATCACCACAACACATTAATGTTATTATAGTTTTTAAAAAGTCAGAGGACAATGGATTATGATCCTTATGCTGACTGGTTATTGTGGGACCATGTCACGGATTCAGTAGCGGATTAAGTGAGGTGTGGGGGGGGGGGGCTGATTTTTTAGGATTTTTGTTGGTTTTCACTATAAAAACTTAAGTGTTAATGTCTGCATCACGAACTTTAATTTTTGCTTTTTACAAAATATCTAACACGCACACACACACATGCATACACACACACATATATATATATATATATATATATATATATATATATATATATATATATATATATATATATATATATATCCCTCAAAATTTCAGCCGGGGGCCCCGCTCAAGCTTAATCCGCCCTGGACGGATTGCACAGATGTTTCGGTAATTGTGAATAGACTTTGTAACTATGGCAGAAAGGGGCGGGGGAGGGGGGGGGGGGTTTGGGGGGGGGGGGGTTTGGGGGGGGGGGGGGTGGTGTCAAGCTTCTACCTGAGATAAAGCTCGCCTGTGTGTTTACCGGAGACTCCCACATCATCACTCCATAGATCTGGTGAGCCCAGCGTTGTGGTGGACGAAAGTCGTCGTTCAAACCCACGGCATGCACCAACACCACATCTGTCATCTCGTTGACATTAGTATCGACAAATTGACAGTTGGAGAACTCGCACGAGCTGAAGTTAAAAAAGTCGGAAAGCATCCAAGATGGCCGTCGAAGCACGGCGATGGAGTATGTCTTCGTGTTGTTAGAATTGGTACGTGAACCATTAGGACACAGGACGTAAGGAGAGGAGCCGCATGGGGCTAAGACTGGCTCAATCGTTACGTTCCTCGTCGTTGGTGTCGCTGTTGTAGTAGAGGGGAACTCAAGCTGAAGAAGACGCGGTCCAGGAAGTGTTGTCTTCAAGAGTTTGGTTCGGCTGGTTGTGTTTCCAGGTGACGGTTGTGTTTGGTGTTGAGGGGAGTAAACACCGCTGGTGATATTGATGATGTTCAGGCGCAGTTCCATGACCGACCAGCGAGGCAGGTTTCGATGCCATGAGATGATATCGTGGTGCAGGTAGACCAAGAGGAGCACGCTGCATGCGATGCCAATAAAAAGTGTGGTTTGTTTTTCAGGCAAATGCTTTAACACACTGAAAAAAAATATTTTAAAAGTGAATTGCAAAAAAAAAAAAAAAAAAAAAAAAATTTAAATTTAAAAAAAAATTAAAAGTATATGTTGGCTGGTACTCTATTGTTGGTTCGTTATTTTATTTGTGTTCAGAGGTTGTTTTTTTTATATATTTTGGTAGTGTTTTATTATAGCTGGATCGGGGTAATATTCCCCCTCCCTTTCTCACGGCGCGGGGGTCTACCAGGCTGTCACTGGTAGTTTACGGGCGTTCACAGTCGCATACTGTGGCCGGAGATCGGCTTGACCGGACCCTAGGTGTGGGCATGCTTTGTGTTTCGATTTAATATCCTGTCTTCCTATGGCCGCCTCCTTTAATTTATGTTCGGAAGGCCACGACCTGTGTCAGATCGGGTCAAGCAGGGGGGTTGGGGTGATGGGAAAGTTTGGTTGGATTTAAACTATAAAAGAGGAAGGGTGGCTGTGTTAATGTCTCTCTTACACACACAGCTAGAGCTAGAGGCTAGTCGAGGCCTTAAGGTAGCAGCCTTAGGGCTGGCTGCCATAGCTGGCTTAGTGGCCCAGCTGATGTATTGTTGATATGGCCTGGTGTTACACCCGCGGCCCAACGTCTTGTTCCTGTACATATGTGCTTTGTTCCAGATGTTTACATCTGTGACCTGATGTTTAGACCAGTAGCCAATGTTGTACCGGTGGCCAAACGTCTTGTCCCGGTTGATACGTTCTTCGTTCCAGTGGCCATTATCTATGTGGCTGATGTTTGTACCAGTGGCCGAACCTTTTGTTTCTGTAAATAGGTGCTTCGTTCCGGAGCTTTGTTTCTGTGGTCCAACCCTGATGTTTATACATTTGGCTGATGTTTGTTCCAGTGGCTCAATGTTTTATTCCAGTGGCTGGACAGTCATCTTCCTGCCGCTTGAATGTCGAGTTGGATTGTTGTGATTCTGAGATTACGTAGCCGTGCAAGTAGACAAATAATAAGAACTAGGGTTAATAACATTTACATTGGTGACTCCGAGATTATACAAGCAGTGCAAGAGTGTAGGAAAGAGTTTATTTCAGATATTTTTTTAACTGGGGGAGAGGAGGTGTGCCACTTAATTTACAATATATATTGTATCATTTTTTACTGTTCGTGCCCAAGATACATAGGAGAGATGAAGTAGAGTTCATCTGCTTCACAGACCTAGGCATATGTAGGGATTGTGTTCAAGGACATTCTACTGATTTAAACCCGAATTCGAACTCGAGACTTTCGGAACAGCAGTCTAACTCTCTACTGGAGAATAGAAATTAGAACACCACGTTTACGCAAGTTTAAAACTACATTACTAGTTTACAGTTTCAATGACGAGTCGAGTTCCATTTGGCTCAAACAACTGATGTGTCACTATGCTATTAGTGTTGAAATTGTTTATAGATTTAGTTCTAGTGTTGAGATGTGACACTATGCGATTAGTGTTGAAATTGTTTGTAGCTTTAGTTCTAGTGTTGAGACATCTTCCTTGAAGAAACCTGTTGTGTCTTCTGTGCCAGCTGATTCACCGCAGGGAAATTACGCTTTGGCTTACTGCCACAGACTGTCTGACGCCAATATCAGTCTGACATGACGCTTTCATTGATGTACTGACTCCAAACCTTGGACTTACATTTATGAAAACAAACACCATTGTTAATTAAAACAAGATGGTTACTCGGATAATTTCCGACACTATTTTGTGAAATTACCCAGAAATGATCATAATCAGTGACATCATTATTCCTTTTAGTTCCTTAAGTAACATAGGACTTACGTTATAGCTCTTCACTCTTATGTGGATAATTAATTAATGATTTTAGTCTTCATTAGTATATAAAGTGAATATGCATGAGTCGCAAAAACTGTACCACTGCAAGTATTATCTATGGCATTGATGTGTAGTGCTAATCTATCTAGTAATCTAATGATTAGATTCTAATCATATTGATGTTTATTATTCTTCAGTAATCCATCAGGTTAAGTTCGCCGTAAAAGCAAATAATTATTCAGAAAACTACCTTAATCCGATGCACATATTTATCATCTAAACGTGAAGCATGAATTTATTATTTGCTTTTTTAATGACTGCGTCGAAGTGTCTGCTTTGTTCAAATACGCGTTCTCTCCTACAGTTCAATACCAGTTTACTTTGGTACTACGGACAAAATATTCTCCCTCGTGCGCAAATAAAGACGCGTAGACAATACTTTAATATTCTTTACGTTAGAGCCCATGTTAGGATTCCCAATTGCGTGAATAAAATGTCATTGTTTTACGTCATCGAAATCTGAGTACACCCAGTTGTGTAATTGTATTAAATGTCCATTTATTTGATTTGATCAGAACTGCATGTTTAAAAATAATATTTTTGAAATGGTGTAATTCTCCTGTAAATTCGAAATTTAAGTGAAAAAGAAATATAATAATCGAACAGTTATTATGGGTTCTTTATAAATTCGCCCCCCCCCCCCACATTTTATAAACCACAATTTAAAAACACTTGACAAAATCAGATTTATCCATACATTTTCATACAGTTTTAAAAACATTTTTAAAAAAATAATAGCTGTAAAGAAGTAATAGACCTCGCCTACGTCACAACACAGCAAGCCCTCTTTTGTGTCCATTGTTTCATATATTGCGTGTGCATTTTTCTTTAATTTCTCGAATTTAAGAGATATTTATTACCCAAGCGCAGGCATTGTTTACATTTAAATAACTCACTTTTAGAAACCAAGGTCACGCGTCTAAGAATTGGTAACGCATGGATGAAACCCTTCTGATATATTCCGTCGGACATTCTTCTATTCCCGCGGCAACGCGCGGGGACGGGTACGCTAGTATATAAATATATATATATATATATATATATATATATATATATATATATATATATATATATATATATATATATATATATATATATATATATAACTATATATATATATATATATATATATATATATATATATATATATATATATATATATATATATATATATATATATATATATATATATATATATATATATATATATATATATATATATATATATATATATTAGGGAAGTCAGTTATGAATGTCTCCTTGAAACAACTAAATGGTTTTTGTATTCTAACATTAAAATGTTCATCTGATAACGGAATTACACTGAATTTCTTTCGCTTATTGTTTCCCTATTTCTGCGCAACTTACTAAATATAACTGAAAACAGTGATGGGGCCTAACTTCTACCTCCTCTAGACACGGGTGGACAATCTACCTCATATGACCCTAGAAGGGGCGGACATTCTTCCTACTCTAGACATGGGCGGACCTTCTACCTCAAATGAACCTAGACAGAGGCGGACCTTCTACCTCCTCTAGACAGAGGCTGATATTTTTCCTACTCTAGACAGTGGCAGACATTCTTCTTACTCTAGACAGTGGCAGACATTCTTCTTTCTCTAGACATGGACGGACATTCTTCCTACTCTAGACTTGGGCGGACCTTCTACCTCATATGAACCTGGACAGAGGCGGACCTACTCCTTTACGTTTCTTCATACAGGGGCGCTCTATCGAAACCGCTTCCTCCTACATTTCTGTCAGATTTAGCCACGCAGTGACCGTTGACAGATCTGAAGGCCAGACTTGCTGGGCCGATTTTATTGACTTTTCAAATGTTTACACTGCAGCGAAGCACGAATATTAATTACGTTTGTATATTACCGTAGTCGGTCTCTGGTGTTACTTTGATGTTCAATATAGTACGAACTGGCTTGTTTTGGCCAGCTGTAGGGTTGTAATAAATGGTGGTTATAAGGGCTCGTGATAGATTCTGGTTACTTGTAGGCGTGAGTATTTGGCCAAGTGTAAATATAAAGGCAGATAAGATTTTAGTTAAATTGTTAGTTAAGGCGTGATTGGGTTTGATTTGCAATTTTGATATGCTTGTTATATTACAAAATATCGACAAGGCTACTGTGTAGTTCGTTGTGAAGCTACCAGTCATATTTACAAATAAACACTTGAATGAAGATGATGTGTTAAACCATTGTCCAGGGCAGCATTGGGTATATTCATCTAGTTATTAGAATCAGCTTTAACTTACAAAAATACAAAAAGTTTAACAGCAACAAAAACAGCATACAACACATTTTCGATAATTAAATGATTTATTTATCCAGCATTAATTAATTTGACCACATCTGGATCGTTAAATCAACCACTTCAAGGTGTGTCGTAAAATTTAACAAAGATGGCGAACATGTCGGCAATGGCCACGTCACCAGTGTTCCAGTTCTCAGGGCTACTCTGCCGTGAGTACTTGAAGACCGGTAGCTTGTCGGCTTTCTCCCACGCGCATGCGCCGGTCTCTGCCTTGTCCACAGCCACGAACCAGCCCTTGTCTCCCGGACATCCACCGTAGACGTTGTTGATGAAGAAAACCCTGGATATAATTGGTCGGATGTCGCCTGCAATGCTGAACATGTTAGTGGTATCAGTCTTGATCTTAGTCCAGGTAGAGAACTTGACCTTGGACTTGTCGAACCAGGTCATGTAGGTTGTACTAGTGCCGTCAAACAAAATCTCCTTGACCCTCTTGTAGTTGGAGTACACGATGAAGGATACCTCCTTAACTCTGTCCCAGTTGTTGAAGACTTCTGAGTTCCTGTAGTGGTTGCTGCAGGGTAGGGGGGAGGTAACCTAACATAAAATTCATATGTGAATAAGGCGAAGTTTCAATAAACCATTTTGTAACAATAGGTAAGCAATGAACTCAAAGACCAATGTTGTGTTTACTTTTTATAATATCAAATACTCCTTTTACTATAATGGTGCTTGCATGAAAGTCCATATTCTTATTTCCTAGTAATTTTAAAACATCTTTTGATTAATTTATTTGCGTTAAGGTGTTCAATGTAATTGAATTATGGAATATTTGCTAATAATAATTGTTTTAAAAGTTATTTTATTTTTAACTTAATTAGAGAAAAAAAAACACTCACCTGTTTACATCCGGGTTCCACCTCACTAGGGATCCCAGTACCGTTCTTATAGGCGGCGTAAACAGATTTTCCAATGTAAGCTGTGCCACGAAACGCCAGTGTCCATTCACCACTTTCATTTTGCTTAAGCTGAAAAAGTTTCACATTTTCTTAACTACTAGCCGTCGGTACCCGTTACACGTGAATTATAGTCCTATATATTTTTGTTGGTAAACGTATTTGGAAAAAAATAATTTATAAAATAGTTATTGGTCAAAACGCAACACTACACGTTGAGATATTAGTGACAAAGCAAAGAAGTAGCTAAACAGCTAAAAAAGTAACAGCTTATTTAAAATATCAAAGGCTACCAATACTTATTATAAAAACCAAATTATATACACAACATCATATCAAATGCACACACTGATCAAGAGACTAAAATGATTCCGTAAAAAAAATCTTGGTCATTCAGTGTTATTTATGTTGTTTTTAAAGGAATTTGTATTACTTTTGGCCTAGAAAATTGTATACATTTCATAGCATACGTCTTGATAAGTAGATATATAGATCTTAATCAAATTTGAATGAAATAGTTCCTTTCTTCATATTCTAAAATTGGAAGATGATGCCATTAGTTTTGTGTTCTTTCCGTAGTTTTAAACATGTGGTATGTGACGTCATTGGTTATTGCGTTATTTTCACAACAATAAACGCTTTTCCGGTTGCATAATTAAAACCGTTTTTCTACATTCGAATATACTTTATTTTTATTTTCCTTCTTTAAATAAAATCTAGTTTATACATTTTTAACATCCAACATATTATTTTCAACAAAAGTCCGCATCTTTAAGTTGTCCATATATCGCTGATCATACTGATCACATCGCCTAAAAAAACGTGCGGACAGAGCGAGAGAGAGAGAGAGAGAGCGAGAGAGAGAGAAAGAGAGAGAGAGTAAGAGAGAGAGAGAAGTGCGCATATGGGCTTTAATTATGTTATTAGGATTTCAACATTCAACTTATCATTCAGCATATAAAAAAGGCTTTACTTACACTTTCACATTTGTTTTCAGATCATGTTTACACTACGATTTTAATATTTTAAGTTTTTACTTTGACATTCATCGGCAATTTTTGTTGTTTTAAAATTATTAATAGGTTGATGTCTAATTGTGGTTACCTCGTTCCTCAATTGGCTGCTCTCTGCTTCCAGATATCCTACCACAGTTTCCAGAGATGCCACCCGTTTGTTATGATTATAGCAGCAGTTCTCTAACACAGCTGTTTTGTTTTCCAGCTCTTTTGTCTTCTTGGCCAGTTCTTTAACTAATTCTTCATTAGCCGAAAGTCTCTTTTCAGTCTTTACAATAACATCTACCAACTCAGTTACAATCGGTTGTCGGGTTTGAACTGTCAGATTTCCAGTTAGCATGACCCCGTAGTTGTCAGCTTTCAACCCGTTAATGTTACAGGTGTAAGTTCCGGCTTGCTGCTGATCTGGGTTAGACCAGTTCAGGGAAAGATAACCTGTGACTGGTGAAGTAGTGAAGGTTACGTCCCCTGCAACACTAAGTGTTTGAAAGTCGCTGTAAGCTGTGGCTGGATTACAAGCTGAGACTGAGGCTATTACCTCACTATCTCCTAACGATTAGAAAAAAACACAGTAAATTTGCTTATTAAATTACGTTGACGAAATGAAAATGGAATTATGATATAAATGACGGAAATAAGGAATTCACATTAAAATATCACACTCTAATAAAGTATTACTAAATGGAATAGTAGATCTAGATGTTAGAATTAAGTTTTTAATTTATTTTATATTTTACCTCTGGTAATTGTTATTGATAAAATATTTTTAAACTGGATGCCTATTTCCTCTGTGGACTGTAGACAAAAAAAAAAACAGCAATAAAAACATGATAAAAAGACAATACAGAATGACGATTTTTTTTTTCTACAATCATAATTTGGTTCACTCTTACACTGTTTTTGAATTTTCATCTTGTGTTATAATGTAGTCAGGGCTGCAAAGTCTACAATAAAACAGACATTTTGACACTTTATTTAATGGCTAAGAATTATGTTTTTACTTCTCGAATACGAAGTATAGAGAAAGTATTGTAATCGTGAAAAAAAATCGAGGTTTTTGCAAATATCGACGTTTTACACCAAAACATAGTTTTGCAATACTGTCCCTATGTCTCTGTGTGTGTGTGTGTGTCTGTGTGTATATGTGTGTGTATGTGTGTGTCTGTGTGTCTGTGTGTCTGTGTGTGTCTGTGTGTGTGTGTGTGTCTATCTGTAAACACGATAACTTGAGTACCGTTATAGCTAGATTGATGAAATTTCATATATAATTATTACATCATATTTGTTCATCGGTATCAACTTTTCAGCTATTATCAATAACCGGAAATGGAGCTTAATCTACTTTCATTTTTTTTCAAAAGCCTATAACTTTAAAACTATTTCAGATAGATAAATGAAATTTCACATGTTAGTAAAAGATTTAATTATCTGCCTTCTTTCAAATATTGAGTAATTTCCGTTGATCGGAAGTAGGTATTTACGCTATTTCCATTTTCTTAAAAAACGCATGTAAATTTATAAAGTACTAATAATATTGCGCACTATTATGCACATTTTGTTTTGGCGTTCGCTTGGTGCGCAATTCTTTTTTCTATGAGATTCTATTCTATTTTTAAAAGTTTAAGTAATTAAAAATCATGTCTATATTGCGAGAAATATAAGAATATTCGAGAAAGTTTAGGGGAGATCACTCCCAGTTTATTTGACTTAAAAAACTTCCGTATTTAAAACACTAGCCCTGGAAAGTACCAGTGTCACGCTAACATTTTGTAGAGATTAGCATGTCAATGGTAGAACACACTTTAGGACCTCTAGTGTGTTAGCTTCTGTCATAAAAAACTATTTTAAAAATTGGATTTCAACGTAATTAGAATACATAATATACTTTAATCAAATTTATCGTCATACCTCCAGAGAACATTTGATGTGGAGAGTCGGAGTCAGGGCTGTTGTGATGGTTGAGGTTGATGCCTGGAACACCATCTTAGAACCTGTAGAGATTTAGCAAAATGTTATTATTGAAAAAAACACACATTTAAATCTGATTTATTTTAGGAATGTAACGTTGCACATGGAATTCGTTAGTTTAACTGCAATAAATCTAGGCATTTACAATTATTAGTGGATTTATATGTTTAATGAATCATTAAAAATGATCTGTCATTTTCAATCAGCCCATGTAAAAGTCTGTACTTACCTAATGTTAATGACATTGATAAACAGCCTGCCAAAAGGTAAATTGCATAACGTTGAATCATTTTAAAAGCTCCTAGATTTAAAAAATAAAGAACATATGCTGACAAAAACAATTTATATTCATATATAATCTCAAGTAAATTTTTTGTCAGAAATTATTTGCAATGAGGAACAAAACTTATTTTTTTCTATAATGCATTTGATTGTTGTAGAAAATATTTGTAAAATTAATAATGCTAATAGAAATTATGATTTTCACAAATATCTAACTGGACAGTGGTTCCCTTTCATCCGTGCTTTACAAAGCTCTGATTTCTTTAGTATAGAACAGTACAAGGATATACAAAGATGTCTAGATAACCTAGTAACCTCAGCATCTGTCACCGGAGAATTCAACATTTTATGTGCAACATTTGAAGTACAATATTTGCTGTGAAACATTTGATGTACAACGTTTGATGTACAATATTTGATGTGCAGCATTTGATGTACAACATTTGATGTACAATATTTGATGTGCAGCATTTGATGTACAACATTTGATGTACAATATTTGTTTTGCAAAATTTGATGGACAACATTTGATGTGCAACATTTGATGTGCAACATTTGATGTACAACATTTGATGTGCAACATTTGATGTACATTTGATGTACAACATTTGATGTACAACATTTGATGTACAACATTTGATGTACAACATTTGATGTACAACATTTGATGTACAACATTTGATGTACATCATTTGATGGCAACATTTGATGTACAACATTTGATGGCAACATTTGATGTGCGACATTTGATGTACAACATTTGATTTGCAACTTTTGATGTACAACATTTGATGTACAACATTTGATGTACAACATTTGATGTACAACATTTAAAGTACAACATTCGCTGTGCAATATTTGATGTGCGACATTTGATGTACAATATTTGATGTACAACAATTGATGATCAACATTTGATGTGCAACATTTGATGTACAACATTTGATGTACAACATTTGATGTACAACATTTGATGTGCAACATTTGATGTGCAACATTTGATGAACAATATTTGATGATCAACATTTGATGTACAACATTTGATGATCAACATTTGATGTGCAACATTCGATGTGCAACATTTGATGTACAACATTTGATGTGCAACATTTGATGAACAATATTTGATGTACAACAATTGATGTACAACATTTGCTGTGCAACATTTGATGTACAACATTTGATGTACAACATTTGATGTGCGACATTTGATGTGCAACATTTGATGTGAAACATTTGATGTACAACATTTGATGTGCAACATTTGATGTGCAACATTTGATGTACAACATTTGATGATCAACATTTGATGTACAACATTTGATGATCAACATTTGATGTGCAACATTCGATGTGCAACATTTGATGTACAACATTTGATGTGCAACATTTGATGAACAATATTTGATGTACAACAATTGATGTACAACATTTGCTGTGCAACATTTGATGTACAACATTTGATGTACAACATTTGATGTGCGACATTTGATGTGCAACATTTGATGTGAAACATTTGATGTACAACATTTGATGTGCAACATTTGATGTGCAACATTTGATGTACAACATTTGATGATCAACATTTGATGTACAACATTTGATGATCAACATTTGATGTGCAACATTCGATGTGCAACATTTGATGTACAACATTTGATGTGCAACATTTGATGTACAACTAGAAACAGATGACCAATACGCCCATTTGAACTAGAAACATGGAACTACCTCACTATAAGCAAATAATTGATGACAACGGTCAACTTTAAAGAATGCCAACATAGTGTCAAAATGTCAACACACTGTTGGCTTTCAATGATCACCATATCCTACCAACGTTCATGGAAAGCCTAGCTTACTTCAATACTAACACAAAATCATTACATGATAAAAATGAATCTTACAGATTCGATTCAATCTTTATTGTGTCTTCGTTATTTAAGTGAATATGGAAATTGTATGGCCACGTAGTAAAAGAGCAGCATCCAAGAACAAATGTTAAACACCATCTTGTTTGAATTAACTATTTACTAAATATATCGTGTTTGAATAAGAATAAAAAAAATTAAAATATATCTCCACTTACTAGACAGATGATACCATAAAAAGATACTTTTTTAAAAAAAAGAAAAAGCGTTCGTAACGTCAGCTGAAGTCACAAGTAAACAAGATGTTATGTGGAGCCGTGTACAACAGGATTTTAGGATGGAGTGCTGTGTGAAACACTTCACCTTACGTTACATCACTTTAAACATACATACACACACACGTACACACAAGCAGGCACTCACGAAAGTACAAGAGTGTATAAAACACTGCTTTAGTTACAATAAAACTCTACTTCCGTGGGAACACAATAGCTTTAATAATGTTTCAGTTATTAGGTTGATACAATCATCTATAAGTATAAAATTGCATACTTAGATTACTTTTAAATATTAAGTGAAGAATATCCGGAAGCAGAGGCGTAGAAGGGGGGGGGGTGCGGACCGCACCGGGTGACACCATTTAGGGGGGTGACACCAAGGCAAATAATAGCAAAATATATATAGAAAAACTTGAGGGAGGGGTGCCAATCGAAAGTTTGAGGGGGGGGTGCAAATCGAAAACTTGAGGGGGGGGTGCAAATCGAAAGTTTGAGGGGGGAAGGGGTGCAAATCGAAAATTTGTCCCCGGAAGGATCGGTACGCCTCTGGGGGGTGACACCATTAAGTGCCGCACCGGGTTACACCCGACCTCGCTACGCCACTGTCCTGAAGTGGTACTTTGTTTCCTGATTTCTAAAATACCGATTTAATTTTGTGAGACAAACGAAGTTTTATACATAGAAATAAGATCTTATTCTGTTGAATTACTTCAAGTAACCGGAAGTAGTACTTTACACTATTTCCATTCATCTTAAAAATATCACTTCTACCGGGCCTAATAGTTTAACAATTTTCAGGTAGTTCAAGACTAGATAGCAATGTATTGTGACATAAACTGTGAGTAATAAGATGGTTAATTAACTCAGCTCTGTGCACAACATGATGTAGTGTAGCCCCAAGGACAATGCCCTCGTGACAAAAGTTGTATTTTTGCATGAAAAACAATTAGTGAAAATATGGTTGGCGTTGTTTGATAAATAAAAAATTAGTGGGCTTTTTAGTGTTAAAACTAAACCACACCCATACCTCATTAAACTACGGAAAAAAAACTATGCTGAAATAAGTTAGAGGAACGCATTTATACAACACACAAACTACCAAACAAAAAATAAAAAATACCCTCACATATTTGTTAAATTATCTCAACTAATGAAAACGTGTAACGAAAATGTTTTACTCGAACAGTACACATTTTTTACGTTTAACAACTTTACATGTTTACGTATTATTCGATCTCATTGTATATTAAATATTTAAACTTTAAAATTTTTAAAAAAAATGTCAGAAAATGTTTTCTTTTCCTAATCAATAAAATGTTTCCTAATTTTCTGAAGCCTTTTTTAAAGATGAATTACAATTTATTTCATTAATCACTTTCCGTAGATATATGCAGTTTCTTTAGACATATATACCGTTTCTTTTCCTTTCACCACGGAACAAAATTGTAAAAAAAGCATTTCATGAAAAAATATAGAAAAACCAGTATCCTCTACCCCCACCCCCTCCTCCACTCTTAACCAGAAAGTTTTGAGTGCCGCTCCCCGGAGATAAATATTTAAAAGAAAAACTGGGCTGCCTATATGTATGTAAAGAGCAGAGAGCTAACATTCACCAGAATAGCCCGTGTAATGGGTCCCTATGGTTATTTGTCTTATAAGAGAGGTAGCGGAAACAAAAATAAACCAGTGCAGAACCTGGCCGGAACGGCTGGGTAGCTTATTAGTGAGATGGTGTAAACATCAGTAAAGCTCCCCTTTCAGACCTTTACATCAATAGGTCGTATGCAGTAGATTTTTAAGTTTTCTTGACCTCGGCATAATTATGAATGCATTGTGTGGTCAGCATTTTACCTTTACTTTCCCCAACGTGAGTCAAGTACCCATTAGAGCTGAATGAAAACATAGATGGAGTTCTGAGATATAATGAAAAAAAGAAAAATTGAAAATTCTTTATTAACAAACGAATGCCAAACCAACATTATATAGTATAATTTTTTAAAATAATTTAAACACCAAAGCAAACCCAACTCACGTAAAGTTTATTTTCTTTAAACTCAAACAAAAAAGCTCTTCCAAAAATTAATCTATGAATACAAGAAAAAAAAACAACAACCTCAAACGGAAAATCAACAGTTTTTAGCGTCACTCAGTTCAATCAAGCGAATCTACCCCACTATATTTGTTCACATATTTCAGCCTGCAATAAAAACTCTTACTAGCAGAAATGAACAAAATAAATACCACAAGCAACCCCCCCCCCCCTTATCCCACGTAACAATCGTTCCCTAAAACTAAAATAAGTCATTGCCTTTACATATAAGCACAGAGTAACATTACTAGACATAATTCAAACTGCGAATGGATTTTTAAATAAATTGCATTATTGTTGCATTCAGATGAATAAATTACATTAATTGCTAAATTCCAATGATGAATAATATTAACTGTTGAATTCAAATGATGCATAAATTACATTAACTGTTGAATTCAAATGATGAAAAATTACATTAACTGCTAAGTTCCGATGATGAATACATTATAGCTTATTCTGGCTTCTTATTGGCTGTTAAGTTTATTTTCAGCCCTATTGGCTGGAAACAAGGTCAAGTGAAGAGTAGGCCCTAAATTATATTGACTAATTACATCCCGTGAATATTATATCACTTTGATATTTATATATTGGAGAATGTATATCAAACTCTAAACATAAATCATATTGACTTTTTTCATCCCTAGAATAATACATCACATCGGTATTTATACAGTGGAAAATGTGTATTAAACTTTTTATAATATCCTGTGAATAGTTTATCAAAATGAGTATTTATATTTTATGAACAATTTATTACGTTCATTATACCTGACCTGACCGTGAACAGTATATCGCATAGACTTTTAAATCACGTTATAGTTGAAAGGCAACATTACCGGCCCACAGGAGTTGTGATGAGCCTGGGGGGACCATTGCCCGACCCCCACTTGCTCTTCTTCCCGTGTTGTATGACCCGCACATAACTTTATACGGTCAGTGAACTCCAATCTCTGGGCCTGTAGGAACCTTGACTGATGACGTCATAAAAAGACTTTTATCCCATACTTTCTCAGATCAAACCACATGAACAAGGGAGCTTATTTATCCCATATTTTCTCACATCAAACCATATCACAAGGAAGCTTATTTATCCCATATTTTCTCACATCAAACCACATGATAAGGAAGCTTATTTATCACATATTTTCTCTTATCAAACCACATGATAAGGAAGCTTATTTATCCCATATTTTCTCACATCAAACGACATCATAAGGGAGCTTATTTATCCCATATTTTCTCTTATCAAACCACATCATAAGGGAGCTTATTTATCCCATATTTTCTCAAATCAAACCACATCATAAGGGAGCTTATTTATCCCATATTTTCTCACATCAAACCACATCATAAGGGAGCTTATTTATCCCATATTTTATCACATCAAACCACATCATAAGGGAGCTTATTTATCACATATTTTCTCACATCAAACCACATCATAAGGGAGCTTATTTATCACATATTTTATCACATCATGCCACACAATGATGAAATTTTTATATATCTCATATTTTCACACTCCAAATCACATCATGTGGAAACACACATATATATTTAAGTACGAAACGGAAGTGCTGGACACAAGGAGTATTCACTCTGAATTTAAAGTGAGCACACAAACACAGTATAAAACACTAATAAGAGAATAATATATCACATGTCCTCTGGAGTTATACATGCCCCCTCTTGAATCCATTGGTTCATATCATGGACTTTGTTAAAAGTATGAGTGTGTAATTTTTTACATACTTGACACCCCACAGATTCAATGCCTGCCTGGATTGAAGTCACATGCCTGTATTTGTCTTTCTCTGCCAGGTAACCGGCGTACCTGTTTAAGTCACTGGCCAGATTTATCAAAAACAAAGCCAAATCTTTCGGCGTTTTAAAATCAGCCGCGTTGATCATGGTGTTGTGGGGGAGATACTGACCGTACGGCGCCCCTCCACGGGCTACGGGGATGATGTGGGTGTCAGGATTGTAGGCTTTGAATAGTTTTTCTGTAATGTAATCTTTACAGTGGGAGTTTTCGAAAGACAGGTAAAATTTGTAGTGATGTTGGAATAGGTCATCGCAGACTTCTCGCTTGCATGGTTGACCGCAGGCCCCGTAAATATCAACCTCAATGTATTTCTGAAAATAAAATGCACACACAATTTAACCGATTTTAAAAATATACATTATTTATCATTCAGAAAATTTCAGTATATGATTTATAATTGTAATTTCAGGCGTTAAAAAATCGTTCGTATGTTAAAAGTATATTTAGGATTGGAAATAGAGGATACAAAATCATTTTGTATGCGGAATTTGCGGATATATGGACAGGCAATGAAAATTTAAAGTAAACTTTGACCTCCGACTTAGGGATCCATTGGGCAGATAAGGGAGCTTCCAGATGTTTCTTGACCACGACATGGTGGGCAGCTCTATGCCCAGTCGTCTTTACTTTCCCTATCTGCGCTAGGTACCCAATAGAGCTGAGTGAACTCAGTGTCGTCCTACAGTCACAGGTGCGATCAGAGATCAAGCACTCTACCAGTCACAATTTGTTTATACAACAACAAAAAAACAGTCACAAGTGTGATCAGAGATCAAGCACTCTACCAGTCACAATTTGTTTATACAACAACAAAAAAACAGTCACAAGTGCGATCAGAGTTCAAGCACTCTACCAGTCACAATTTGTTTATACAAAAAAATCAGTCACAAGTGTGATCAGTGATCAAGCACTCTACCATTCACAATTTGTTTATACAAAAATAAAATTAGTCACAAGTGTGATCAGAGTTCAAGCACTCTACCATTCACAATTTGTTTATACAAAATAAAAATCAGTCACAAGTGCGATCAGAGTTCAAGCACTCTACCATTCACAATTTGTTTATACAAAAAAAAATCAGTCACAAGTGTGATCAGTGATCAAGCACTCTACCATTCACAATTTGTTTATACAAAAAAATCAGTCACAAGTGTGATCAGTGATCAAGCACTCTACCATTCACAATTTGTTTATACAAAAAAATCAGTCACAAGTGTGATCAGTGATCAAGCACTCTACCATTCACAATTTGTTTATACAAAAAAATCAGTCACAAGTGTGATCAGTGATCAAGCACTCTACCATTCACAATTTGTTTATACAAAAAAATCAGTCACAAGTGTGATCAGTGATCAAGCACTCTACCATTCACAATTTGTTTATATAAAAAATCAGTCACAAGTGTGATCAGTGATCAAGCACTCTACCAGTCACATTTTGTTTATACAAAAAATCAGTCACAAGTGTGATCAGTGATCAAGCACTCTACCAGTCACAATTTGTTTATACAAAAAGTATGTTATGTTCACTCGTGTATTTGTTACTTAATTTTTTATTGTATTTCATAGCTGACCAAGTAATTTCCCCTTTTATTATTGTATTAAGTAAACTTTTATTTTAATTTAAATAAATAAACTGACTTCTAAATGTATAACTGTATAAAAATATTAGTGACGAAAATATAAGAAAAATTCGCTTCAGTATAGGGGGTCAAAATTTGGTTACAAAATCTGCCACAGCTCACGGAAAACTGTGAACTAAATGAAAAGCGTATAAAAGTATCAAAACTTTTGGTTGGCTGGGGATAGCGACTAAATCGGGGGAAAATGGATGAATTTTGCAAAAAAAAAAAAGGTTGGATTTAAAGGATTCTAGAGTAGCAGAGACCTACCTGCATCTCCTGGACGTAGCTGTAGCGCTTTGACGGAGTGTCGCAGTTTGAGACCAACCACATGGCCATTTTAGTTTTGTTCTTTGCTATCTCATCTGTGCAATGATACAGGAAAAAACAATCAACATTATAATAGTTTGTTTGCTTAAACGTAGGTCTACTTTGTGTGAGATCGTTTGTCCATGACGTCTTTTGTGCGTGTCGCATTTTTTCTGAGTTCATTTGTCATATATATATATATATATATATATATATATATATATATATATATATATATATATATATATATATATATATATATATATATATATAGGGGTCATCCATAAATGACGTCACACTCGTAGGGGGGAGGGGGGGGGTCCGTAATTTTGTGACGATGTGTGATGAGGGGGAGGGGGGGGGGGGTTAGATGGTGTGACATCCCACTTTTGCATTATAAAAAAGCAATGTTAGAAAACGAATTTTAGACGTTATTTCGCGTTTTAGATAACTGTTTTAATAAATTGTAATAGTTTAGACAAGATTTTGGAAAAATATCAATGTTTAAAAAAAAATTCAACTGCAATTTTGAGGGGGGTTGTAGGTTGAGGTGTGACGTCATTTTAGGGGGGGGGGGTCTGGCTTTTTATGACGAAGTGTGACGGAGGGGAGGAGGGGAGGTAAAAATCGCCAAAAAAAGCATGACGTCATTTATGGATGACCCCATATATATATATATATATATATATATATATATATATATATATATATATATATATATATATATATATATATATATATATATATGTATGTATGTATGTATATGTATGTATATATATATATATATATATATATATATATATATATATATATATATATATATATATATATATCTAATATATAAAGCTCAGTTCTGTATGTAATGCATATGTTTGTCGTTGGTCTTGCATGAATTTAAGTGTTAGAAAATTATCGTGCGCATTTGTCTAAATTTATGAGCTAAAAAATTACTATTGAAAGTGTTGGGAAATAATTTTCATTTTTCAAATTATAGTAATAATTGTCGGCATGTTCATTAAACACAAGTTTAAAAAAAATATCATCTTTTACAACAATTCTAATTATGTCTTTATTTAGTCCTATAGCACTTACTTCCCTTTGATAAATTAGGAAAACAAAATTAATTCCCTTTATAAAACCATTGCATTTTGTGGAAAATAATTTACTTTTTAATTACTTTGTTTTGGTGTTGGGAAAAAAAAAATTACATAATCAGCGGGGATTGATCAAGTGCAAATGTTGTAGGTATTTTACGGATAAGCTTGGAGTATTAAAATTGTTCATTAAATTGAAACAGGCGCGTTCGTTTAAGTGAGTGCAAAAGACTATGAATAAGTTGGGGTACTACAGTAGCGTAGCGAGGGGGGGGGGGGGGCGGGGGGGGGGGACATATGTCCCCGGGCGCCGACCTTAGGGGGGGCGCCAAATTGAAAGTTTGAGGGGGGGGGGGGGTGCAAATGAAAAGTTCGAGGGGGGGGGGAGGTGCAAATCGAAAATTTGCTCCCGGGGGGCGCCAAATTGAAAGTATGTCCCCGGGCGCCGGGAAGGGTCGCTATGCCTCTGGGGTACTATAGTCGTTCATTAAGCTAAAACAGGTGATTCCGCCCCGGGCGTTTATGTTCGCGTTAGTGTTTTCTTTGTGTTTAGGTGGGTTTGCGTTAGTGGTTGCGTTTTGATTTGGTTCGTTTTTGTTCTTTCTTTTTTCGTTTTTGTTTGTGTTTTTTTGTTTGGGTTTGTATTTGTGTTTTTGGTTGGTTTTGCGTTTGGATTTGGTTTGTTTTCGTTTGCTTTTTGGTTGTTTTTTTTTTTTTGTTGGTATTGGTGTTTGTGGTTGGGTTTGTTGTTAGGTTTTTGTTTTCGTTTGCTTTTTTGTTTGTTTTTTCTTTGTGTTTGTATTGGTGTTTGTGGTTGTGGTTGGGTTTGTTGTTAGGTTTTTGTTTTCGTTTGTATTTGTAATTGTGTTAGCGTTATGTTTGCGTTTTGTTGTTTTGGTTGGTTGTGGTTTGGGTGGGCAATGCCGGGTTTATGATGATTACTAAACACACAGGTAATGGTCTTTAACAGAAAGGATTTTCACAGAAGCCAGAGCAGGGCCTGGCCGGGACGGCTAGTATATATATATATATATATATATATATATATATATATATATATATATATATATATATATATATATATATATATATATATATATATATATATATATATATGAAACAAAACAACGCCCAGACCCACAAACCACACCAAACACATGCAATACAAACTGAAGAATTCAACATTTCTAACGCATTTCAAGGCGAAGACGAAGCCCCAGTGCGGAGAGTGACACACTACCTAGCGGCTTATGTTACAGACACTAACGCAGTCAATACCTACAGTAATTGGGCAGCTCCTGTTGTGGTCTAGGTGAGTACATGAGACGGCCATAAGGCACGAACACGTCAGAGTCCGTCCTGTAGTGGATGGTCATGTTAAATGCTTTGTTCCAGACTGAACCGGCATCTGAGAGATCAGAATTAATACAACACTTTTTTGCACATTCTCGGAATCATTTTCAGAACGTGAAGACGGTATCTGGACATTGCTGGCAGTGTGGTTATCAAATTCTGCATCGATGGTGTTTGTGGATTCCCAATACGCTAAATTTACATTACATTTAATATTCAATATTTAAAAAATTGTATTTTGATTTACAAATTTAAAAATCACGGGTATCTATTTTAATAAATTAATCACCGCATTGAAACCGATTTCAAGATAGGGATAGAGGATATGATACTATTTTGGCTTAAAAATTATAATGTTGGGTATGTTTGTAGTCGTGAATAGAAATGACGAGTACTACATATAGCATCAAACTCCTACCTGAGATAAAGCTCGCGTGTGTATGTATCGGAGACTCCCACATCATCACTCCATAGATCTGGTGAGCCCAGCGCTGTGGGGGACGAAATCCGTCGCTCAACCGCACGGCATACACCAACACCACATCTGTCATCTCGTTGACGTTAGTATCGACGAATTTACAGTTAGAGAACTCGCACGAGCTGAAGTTAAAAAAGTCGGAAGCCATCCAAGATGGCCGTCGAAGCACGGCGATGGAGTATGTCTTCGTGTTGTTAGAATTGGTACGTGAACCATTAGGGCACAGGACGTAAGGAGATGAGCCGCATGGGGCTAAGACAGGCACAGGCGTTCTGTTTCTCGTCGTTGGTGTCGCTGTTGTAGTAGAGGGGAACTCAAGCTGAAGAAGACGCGGTCCAGGAAGTGTTGTCTTCAAGAGTTTGGTTCGGTTGGTTGTGTTTCCAGGTGAAGGTTGCGTTTGGTGTTGAGGGGAGTAAGCATTGCTGGTGATGTTGATGGCGTGCTGCAAAAGTCCCATGACAGACCAGCGAGGCGGGTTTTGATGCCATGGGAAGGTGTCGTGGTGCAGGTAGACCACCAGGAGCACGATGCACGCGATGCCAATAAAAACTAAGGCTCGTTTTTCAGGCAAATGCTTTGACGAGCTGAAATGAACATATAAAAAAAGCTTATTACAACAACAACAAAGTTAAAATAATACAAAAATATAAAAGCAATACTTAAAAATGGGACGGAGTTGTATAGCGGTAGAGAGCTAGACTGCTAACTCGAGTTCGAATCCGGGTTCAAGTCAGTAGACCGTCCCTGAGTCCACCCAACACTGATGGGTACCTAACTCACGTTTACCTAACTCACGTTAAGGAAAGTAAAGGCGGCTGGGCATAGTGCTGACCACACTATCTCTTCATATGCAGATGTCACAGAAACATGTGAACTCTACTTCCATTTCCCCATAGACCGTCAGGTTTGAAAGGGAAACTTTACCTTTTTTTTACTTAAAAATAATGGATAAAAAGAGATAATAAATTCTCAGAATGTCTAATGTCTTGAACAGGATCAGAAGAAAACAGAGTTAAATTAGTACAATGAAAAACTCAATTATTACTTTGTATATCGATTCTGGTTGTTAAGCGAAAGTTTTGAAATATGAACCTTAGCGGTATTTCTTCTGTCATTAACTGGTCAGCTCAGAGTTTCTTTCAGACATTTTTTTTTCGGGGCAGAGGAGGTTTGCCACTTAAATTACAATATAAATTATATCATTTTTTACTGTTCGTGTCCAAGACACATGGGGCAGATGAAGTAGAGTTCAACTGCTTCTCAGACCTTGGCATATGTAGGGATTGTGTTGTGAGCACTATTTCTAGCCGCTTTTACTTTCGCTCAGGGACATTCTACTGATTTAAACCATAGTTCAAACTCGAGACTTTCGGGATAGTAGTCTAGCTCTCTACCGTTGAATAGAGATTAGAACACCACGTGTACACAAGTTTAAAATTAAAACTACATTACTAGTTTACCCATTCAATGACGAGTCGAGTTCCATTTTGCGCAACCAACTGATGTGACACTATGCAATTAGTGTTGAAATTATTTATAGATTTAGTTCTAGTGTTGAGACATCGTCCTTGAAGAAACCTGTTCTGTCTTCTGTACCAGCTGATTCACCGCAGGAAAATTACTCGTTGGCTTAGTGCCACAGATGTCTGGTGCCGGTATCAGTCTGATGTGGTCCTTTCCAAACCTTAGACATGCAAAAAGGATTGTTAATTTAGTAGCTTCTTAGCTAATCGATTTGTTTTTGTAATTTACAACCTTATGAAAAAATGAAGATAATTATTGAATTTAAAAAAAAAATATTTTATATTAAATAACTATATATATGGTAATCTATCGTTTTAGGTACGTAAAATCGCCCGCGGCTAGTAATGTCCGTAAACGTTACATCATTGTCAAGGCTTTAATAGAAGCAGTGTTTCTTCCAGACTTTTTTCTCCGGGGGGGGGGGGGGGCACTTGAAATTTTCGGGGGGGCGGTAGACTTTCTTCGGGGGGGGGGGGGGGGCGGACACTGTTAAAAGTATATATTTTCTATATAAATTATATAAATTTCATTTCGTTCGGGGGGGGGGGCGGTAAAAAATGTTCGAAGAGATGCCTAGAAGAAACTCTGAATAGAAGTATATTGTGATATATTTGTGTCAAATATTATAGATAAATGAATACTAAACCTAAATCAATGGCTAAATATATCAATATAAGCAAGAAGTTAACTTTAAACAGCAGTGTTTGCGAGCAGGATTTGCTATATAAAAAGCGGCCATCTGTAAGTTAGAGTGGCTTCCCCTGAATATTGCGCTATAAGTTTACAATAAAAAAAAATAAACGAGATGGCTGCTATAGTAAATGAGCATGGTTGCATCTGTTGGAAACATCGCTAGTCTTCATTTATTACTGAAAAGTTTTTATTCAATTGTTTAAAAACAGGTACATAAATGAAACAAGGAAACGTTTTTGTATTTTCAAAACAGAAATCCTCCTCAAAATGTGAAATAATTATTAAAATTTAAGCAGTCACCTGTTTTTCACATTACTAGTCGCGGTCGATTTTTATGTACCTAAAACGATAGATTACCAAGTTCGCCATAAAAACAAATAATTATTCAGAAAACTACCTTAATCCGGTGCAACAATTATCATCTGATGGTAACGTGAATCACGAAGTTCCAAAACTAGACGAAAACATAGTTTATAATTCTCTTTCTTTAATGGATGCGTTAAAGCGTCTGCTTTGTTCAAATATGCGTTCTCTCCTATAGTTCAATACCAGTTAACTTTGGTGCTACGGACAAAATATTATCCCTCGTGCGCAAATAAAGACGCATAGACAATACTTTAATATTCTTTACGTTGAAGCCCTTGTTAGGATTCCCATTGCGTGAATAACATGTTCATTGTTTTACGTCATTAAAATCTGAGTATACCCAGTTTTAAAATGTGTATTAAATGTCCATTTATTTGATTTAATCAGAACTGCTTGTTTAAAAAAAATAAAACTCTTTTTACATTTTCGAAATGTTCCCTTTCTTCTTTAACTTAGCAATTTATAAAGAAAAATAATAATAATCGAACAGTTATTAGTGGTTGTCCTTTAATAACATCACCTTATTCGCCCTTTACCAACCCCCCCCCCTCCCCTCCCCATTAAACAACTCACCATTTAAAACACTTGAAAATATTAGATTTATCCATACACTTAGATTTCCAAAAAAACATTTGAGAAGTGGTATGCGTGATTATATATATCGTGCGCCGTCAATACGGCCAAGGACAAAACGGCCCCGTCAATACGACCCCGACGAATCGGCCATGACGGGAGCCCATTTGACGGGAGCCAATAGGTCGGGGCCCTTTTGACGGGGTCGTTTTGTCGGAGGTCGATAGACGGGGTCATATTAACGGGGCCGTTTGACGGGGTCGATTTGTCCCGGGCCGTTTTGACAGGGCACCTATATATATATATATATATATATATATATATATATATATATATATATATATATATATATATACATACATATATATGTATATATATATATATATATATATATATATATATATATATATATATATATATATATATATATATATATATATATATATATATATATATATATATATATAATATATAAAGCTCAGTTTTGTATGTAACGCATATGTTTGTCGTTGGTCTTGCATGGATTTAAGTGTTAGAAAATTATCGTGCGCATTTGTCTAAATTTATGAGTTAAAAAATTACTATTGAATCTGTTGGAAAATAATTTTCATTTTTCAAATTATAGTAATAATTGTCGGCATGTTCATTAAACACAAGTTTTAAAAAATATCATTTTTTACAAAAATTCTAATTATGTCTTTATTTAGTCCTATAGCACTTACTTCCCTTTGATAAATTAGGAAAACACAATTACTTCCCTTTATAAAACCATTGCATTAGTGGAAAATAATTTACTTTTTATTACTTTGTTTTGGTGTTGGGAAAAAAAATAATTACATAATTAGCGGGGATTGATCAAGTGCAAATGTTGTAGGTATTTTACGGATAAGCTTGGAGTATTAAAATTGTTCATTAAATTGAAACAGGCGCGTTCGTTTAATTGAGTGCAAAAGACTATGAATAAGTTGGGGTACTATAGTCGTTCATTATGCTAAAACAGGTGATTCCGCCCCAGGCGTTTATGTTCGCGTTAGTGTTTTCTTTGTGTTTAGGCGGGTTTGCGTTAGTGGTTGCGTTTTGCGTTGGTTCGTTTTTGTTCTTTCTTTTTTCGTTTTTGTTTGTGTTTTTTTGTTTGGGTTTGTATTTGTGTTTTTGGTTGGTTTTGCCTTTGGATTTGGTTTGTTTTCGTTTGCTTTTTCGTTGTTTTTTTTTTTGTTGGTATTGGTGTTTGTGGTTGGGTTTGTTGTTAGGTTTTTGTTTTCGTTTGCTTTTTTGTTTGTTTTTTCTTTGTGTTTGTATTGGTGTTTGTGGTTGTGGTTGGGTTTGTTGTTAGGTTTTTGTTTTCGTTTGTATTTGTAATTGTGTTAGCGTTATGTTTGCGTTTTGTTGTTTTGGTTGGTTGTGGTTTGGGTGGGCAATGCCGGGTTTATGATGATTACTAAACACACAGGTGATGGTCTTTAACAGAAAGGTTTTTCGCAGAAGCCAGAGCAGGGCCTGGCCGGGACGGCTAGTATATATATATCTAATATATAAAGCTCAGTTCTGTATGTAATGCATATGTTTGTCGTTGGTCTTCGATGGATTTAAGTGTTAGAAAATTATCGTGCGCATTTGTCTAAATTTATGAGCTAAAAATTATTATTCAAAGTGTTGGGAAATATTTTCATTTTTCAAATTATAGTAATAATTGTCGGCATGTTCATTAAACACAAGTTTAAAAAAATATCATCTTTTACAAAAATTCTAATTATATCTTTATTTAGTCCTATAGCACTTACTTCCCTTTGATAAATTAGGAAAACAAAATTACTTCCCTTTATAAAACCATTGCATTTTGTGGAAAATAATTTACTTTTTAATTACTTTGTTTTGGTGTTGGGAAAAAAAATAATTACATATTTAGCGGGGACTGATCAAGTGCAAATGTTGTAGGTATTTTACGGATAAGCTTGGAGTATTAAAATTGTTCATTAAATTGAAACAGGCGCGTTCGTTTAAGTGAGTGCAAAAGACTATGAATAAGTTGGGGTACTATAGTCGTTCATTAAGCTAAAACAGGTGATTCCGCCCCGGGCGTTTATGTTCGCGTTAGTGTTTTCTTTGTGTTTAGGTGGGTTTGCGTTAGTGGTTTCGTTTTGATTTGGTTCGTTTTTGTTCTTTCTTTTTTCGTTTTTGTTTGTGTTTTTTTTTGTTTGGGTTTATATTTGTGTTTTTGGTTGGTTTTGCGTTTGGATTTGGTTTGTTTTCGTTTGCTTTTTCGTTGTTTTTTTTTGTGTTGGTATTGGTGTTTGTGGTTAGGTTTGTTGTTAGGTTTTTGTTTTCGTTTGCTTTTTTGTTTGTTTTTTCTTTGTGTTTGTATTGGTGTTTGTGGTTGTGGTTGGGTTTGTTGTTAGGTTTTTGTTTTCGTTTGTATTTGTAATTGTGTTAGCGTTATGTTTGCGTTTTGTTGTTTTGGTTGGTTGTGGTTTGGGTGGGCAATGCCGGGTTTATGATGATTACTAAACACACAGGTAATGGTCTTTAACAGAAAGGTTTTTCACAGAAGCCAGAGCAGGGCCTGGCCGGGACGACTAGTATATATATATATATATATATATATATATATATATATATATACAGTGGCGGAACTAGAAAAAAAAGGCCCCCCCGCAGAATTTTTTTTTGGGCCCCTATATATATATATATATATATATATATATATATATATATATATATATATATATATATATATGGCCCCATTCAGTTTTCGAAGTGAGAAACACCGACTCTCTAAATCTAGCCCAACACACTAAACTGACGATGATTTTTAAGAGGTTTTTATCAAAACGTTACCAACCGTGTATTTTTAGACGTGTGCCCTGTTTACCAGAAGTTGAATTAAATATTAACAATTTCGGCAGTTCATTTCTACCAACTAGACACGCCAAGGCATGCTGTAAGTCCCGCGGCGACGGCCCAGGTGTCAGGGGAGTCACGGGGCTTTTGGGAGGTACCGGTTACATTCAGAGTTTCTTCCAGGCATCTCTTCGGGGGGGGGGGGGGCGAAGCCCCCCGAAATTTTTTTACTGCCCCCCCCCCCCCCGAACGAAATGAAATTTATATACTTTATATAGAAAATATATACTTTTAACAGTGTCCGCCCCCCGAAGAAAGTCTACCGCCCCCCCCCCCCCCCGAAAATTTCAAGTGCCCCCCCGGAGAAAAAAGTCTGGAAGAAACACTGGTTACATTACTGCACAGGGGATGGGCGCGACATATTGTTTCTTCCGGCAGTCTGGAAGAAACATTGGTGCAACACTTGATTAGATTTAGTCATCGAGTGTAGTAGCGAGACTTATTCCTAGTGTTGTGGGAACTTTTAAACGACTGTCTGTGGGGGCCAACCTGCTCATATGTGATGCGCTCAGATGACACTGTCGCCGGTGATTTAAAGTAGTAAC